AGCATAAGTTTTAATCTATATCAGTAATTGTTATATAAAATGGCTTTTCACGTTTTTCAGTTGACGAGCAAGTAAAGGTTGTATCCACAGTTTGATATGTAGTATGATTTTTTGTTTTTATAATTATATATATGAATATTATTAATAGAACAGAGCTCATAATCTAATATTTCAATAGCTAATTAATCAAAATGGTGGCAATTTACAAACGCATTAAAAGTGAGATCAATGTAAATTTTCACCTTTCGAAATGGTACTATTGATATACTAGTTGGCTTAACTTTTGATAGTAATTTGGAAATTACGGAAAAAAATAAAGTTTTCATTGTTACTACATAATAAGATAGAAAACTTTGTACAGTACATGTTATGTTTTCATATTTTCATGGATAATTGAACGCGTCTTCAAGAAAAACATATAATGATATCCTATGTAGGTATATACGTATTATATGATGGATCATGTGTTTATTTTTGTACAAAATACGGTCGAGAAATGGAATCTCTTAGAATTTGATCCATAAGTTTCACATTTGTTCTCCTATATGTTTCATCACATCAAATAAATGATTAATGAATAAGCCATAATTTTGGAGCATTCATCAAAATGCAATGTACATTATTACTTAGTATCATTGAAGCCATCACTAGGAATCTAAAAAATACATTAGTTTGAAAATGAAAACTATGCAGTAAATCAGTAACTATTGTAGTTACTTAACTGCAGTTACTTCAATAAAAAGTAAAGTAAATATGTTATCTCTAAGATCAGCAATGAGGAAAGTATTTTATTCTCAATGCAGTGGAAAATATGAATGGGAGATAATAACTTCCAAAGTATATTTTTTGATTCCATGCTCGAAGCGTGTACGCACGACATACATGAATAAACGATTACCCGGATGTGCTCACAATTTCTAGAAGATTCAAATATACTATTGATTCAGACAGATAATGAAAGGAAAAGGAAACAAGTCTTACAGCATTTGATAAATTGACGTGACTCTATGTTTAAGAGATTGACTAAATTAGCTTCCCCTTTATCATTGGTGCTTACTAGATGTGATGTCAGTCTCAAATATTTTTTTCGTATGAGTAGCAAATGATAGATCTTCACGTTAATTATATTATTGAAATAATTTGAATTCGATATATGAGAAAAAAAGTGGAAAAATGACGTGAATACAGGCAAAAGAATAGAAACAAAACATCGAAGATGAAATTCTTTTTTCATATCCAAAGTAACTGTTTTTTTCTGTTGTTAAAGAACTAGTCAATATACATTAATAGGTCTTTTACGAAAAACGAAGACAAGTGAATGAAATACTGATAATATCTAAAATGTAACTAAATCTGAGTAGAAAATACAGCATAATCAGAAATTAGATCTTATATATTTTCGACACAGTGATCATTTTAGTCACTTTTCTTTAAAAGCTAGAATTAACACGTAAGATTATGCTTTTTGTTACGATATCATTTCAAAGAAAAACCTATACTACAGTAAAATATGAAATAATAGAAAAATGTCATTTGACGATTCATAAGACAATTTTAGATAACTTCTTCTGCAGGGTGTGGGTGTGTGTAGGTTTGGATGTCGGTAAACAGATGAACACTTACACCCCACACCCACAAAGAAACAATAGTTTAAAAAAATAAGTTGAGGTTTTTGAGAAGAGTCTTCTCGATCTTTGATTGCAATAAAGAAACATGATATTTTATGTATGCGTATTCATTTGAAGCCTATACCACTTGGTATTTCGCAATAATCTCTTGAGAAGAAAATATTTTGCTATGAGAGATTTTCTGTGTCAAGTATCGACTGTTACTTGCATGATCAAGTAGACTGGTTGTATGTCATCTGTGTGGTTTGATAAAATAAATGAAATTGATCGTCATAGTTTTTCTATCTCTATCTGTCATTGAGAAGTTTGAGTTAAGATGCGAATATTCGTGTTCTCTGTATATGTACCTCATTCCCACATCCACATCCTTCTACATTACACGTGTGATAAAAAGATAATAAACATTTTTATACAGTCATTGCTCAGTTCTGTTGAGTGTTTAGTAAGTTCAAACATATTAAACATGAAAACAGTTTTGAAAATATTATGTTCGAATTTCAACCGATCATGTTTGATAGTGAATCAGTATTAGAATGATTAATAGAGTTGAATGAATTTGTATACGTTCCATGATCGTAAACTTGAACAATTGAGTTTCTTGCCATCACAGGTGGAGGAAACGATGAATTAAAGCCTGATGGAAACAAATCAATTAAACTACTTAAATTCGTTTGACAAGGACTGGTAGTGTCATAATAATAAGGATCAACTGTGAACTGATTATTAACAACGGTATTGTTGTGTGCAGCAATATTTCGACTGTTACAGATCGAAATCAGTGGTATTGAACTGTTTGTCGCTATATAATTTCCTCGGATGGATAAGTTACCTCCGTTATTGCCTTGAATTAAACTTTCACTGTAGGATCCAAATAGAAATGTCGATGACTGTACAACAACGTCAAAGAATATTGGAATCAGTTGACGCGGACTTGGTGCAAAAGAAATCACTCCTTTTTGTTTTGCAATTCCTTCATTGCAATTGATATAGACATTCTGACTAAGTGTCACATTTTGTGATGCGACGCTTTCATGCCAATACATGGATGGCTCGAATAGCACTGCTGGTCCACTTGTGCCATTGAATAATGAATGTGTCATATGAATATTTCGTGTTTTTAAAAGGACACCACGTGCTCGATTGTTTGCAACAGTTAAATTTCTAATAGTCAATGTTGGTGTATCAGCAACCGAAGCCCAATCTCCAACACTCACATTGATAGGACTAGTGAATACAAATACTCGTGATGTTGGACCATTGATTGACGATGAAGCTACAGTCGCTGTTGTATAGACTGTGAATTGTTGTTGACTTTTGCTAAATTCCAAACGTGTACCAGTACCAACATTAAGTACATCAAGCCAATTAAACTCTTCAATAATCAAAGCGGTTGAATTGATTATTTGTGCTACAGTGAAATAAAATGCATGTACATTCAATCCATCATCACCTTGTGCTTCGCATCTACTATCGACAATGTTGATGTAATCTCGACTGTCTGCCAAGTGCATACAATCTACGGGTGTACTCATCCAACGTCCAGTACGCGGTATAACATGATAGTCAGTTATATTCAAACGCTTTGCTCGTAATGTGACTATACCCATAAGCCAAGCTGTATAGATTGTTATCGATTGAATATTAAAATCTGTTACATCTTGTGCATCAATAGCATGTCTTGCAGAACTATAGCGAGCTACAATAGGATCTCCCACAACAAATTTTGTAGGAGAAGCCAAAGGTATGCGTAATATGCCGTTTGAAACTAAACTAGTGTTCGCATTCGAAGGCGGTGTCTGATAGATTTCATATGTGTTTGGACCAAATGCAGGTCTCATCATTACTGAATTATATCGAAGAATGGCGTGTACTTGTCGACCAATATCGGCTCTATGTGGTGATACTACTTGAACATCCAGATAACTTGTACTCACACTCACAACATAGCCAGCAGTGAATGGAAGTAGATCGAAATCAATGGCCAATGAAGTGATTGTTAGTCCTTGACAATGTAAAGGTTTGAACATTGCTGCTGGCGAATTTCCAACTAAAAGTGTTTGCTGCATTCCTTGACCCATGACTGTCAAATTGATTGCGCTGTATATTGAAATAGCTGATGTGAAATTATATGTACCAGATTGAAAAACAACAACATTGTTCGATCCGCTAGCAATAGCCTTATTAATAGCTAGTTGAACTGCAGATGTATCATCAATATTATCATTCGGAAAAGCACCGTAACTGGAGACAAAAAACGTTGCTCCAGCAATGTGAGACCATTGAATAGATATTACCATAAAGATGAACCATGCAGAGGCGAACTTCATGCTTATTGTTAACAAAAAAATGATCGTAATACTGGAACGAGAAAGCATTAAAATAGATTACAATGAAATCAGGGAGAAAAAGTAAATACTAGTGCATGTCAAAGCTGAGATAATTCAGATGAGTTCTCCATAAACCTTACCACTAATCAATACTTGAGTCTTGCTTCATGAGGACCCACCACGACCTGATTCGAGCTCGAGATGGGTGAAAATTTCAAGGATCTGGTTTTCACTTTTGATCATTCTAGCAATACTTAAAAACCAGTATCTCGCGGTGAAAATAATCAGCAGTTTACCTAATCTATCAAAAATGTCAATTCTAAGAGTTGAAAAAGAGTTGGACAAATCCTAAATCGAACAAGTCCATGAAGAAAGATTTTTGCATATCAAGAAGTACTAGAAAGGAAAAAACCTATTTAAATTCCCTATTTATATGAGTGTATTAGAGATGAAATAAGATCAATGCATTTTTCGGATGAATATAACAATTCTCCTAATTGATATACGCCGTACCGATATACAAATCGATAAACATTTAACGTAAAATATTCATAAAATAGAAAAGTTTTCATTGATTTGACTTCTTACATTTGCTTGATGCTTAACTTTATAAACGATTGCATTGAATTAATATGGATCAAATTCAAATTTCAATTATTGACAGATCAATTTTGATGGATATTTTTCCTAATCGAAAAATAAATATGAAAACCTATTCAGATTAAAAAAAAATGTATAGTCAAATATTCTCAAATACGTTTGTTAATATTTGCCTATTTCGAATAAAAAAAAAAGAATCTTTGATGATGACTCTTTCTGTTCTAATAAGACAAGTGAGAAGAATGATATCAATCTATTATTTACTTTACTTTTTTTTAAGGTAAATTATTGTATTTTTTAAAATTGATTTAAAAAGTCGAATCATGTATAATTTCGTCTGTTAGGATTTTATTTTGTTTTGATAAATATATTTCATCAAGCAAATGTAAGAACATTTGACAAATGTGATTTAAGTGTCTTGAAATTTTCTTTATTTTGATAGCTAATGAAAAATATTTCTCAGTTTGATAATATTCGATTATATGATATTGATCTTTTCGAAAAAAACATTGTTAAGTGTCATTGGGATTATTTTAGTTATTTAATTATTGAAGTAAATTGTCAAATATGTTTTGGTGCATCTCAATATGAATCATGTTCAATACATAATCAATGTGGATGTTTACAAATAACATCTAATAATGGTCATGGAGTTTGTGCTTTTTTCGGGTTAAATTGTTCTTGATTGAGTCGCTGTGAAATTGTAAAGAATATTTGTCAAAAACCTGATCATATCTGTGTTCATCATCCACATTGCCATCATTATCCTCTTTGTTATCCATTGGAAATAGCAAAAAAAATTTGTCCAGTAGCAGCAAGTATGAAAACAAATCATTTCTTAGATTAAAAACTTTATTGAATAATGATTTATAACTTAATAAATGTCGAATATGTCAGACTTTTTCATAATCAGATATAAAATAGGTTCTTCTACTAAAATATTTTGAGATTCTTCTCGAATATATGAAATTGTTGATGAGAGATCAGTTTTCAGGATGTATGATGAAGAAATTAGAGATTTTTTCTGACTGATAGATCTTATTGAAATTTCAGTTTGAACTTCGTTCGATATTAATTTAACCTGTGAATACTAATTGATTAATCCAGTAAATGTTTTTTCCCATTCAAGATCAAAATTAACAAATGACTGAAACGAAAAAACAAACCTTTTGAAAAAATAAGAATAGAGACTACTAAATTTCTAACATCAATGTATGAAAAATTTTCGAGAAAAATGTATCTAAACTAACAATATTTTTCCATGTCAATTTTTCGTCAACAAGATAAATCCATATGTTAAGAGCGATGATGGAAACACTGACACAAGATACCATCATAATAATTGGCTATATTAGTAAATGTATATGTCCTATAAATTATGACTATCTTCGGGATATTTTACAAGTTGAATAAATATTCTGAAAATTACTATAAATCATTAAATGCATCAAATTCTTATTTTATCTAACAGACTATAGAATGTCTTTTCATTGGACGAAAGAAAACTAGAAACCTGCATTTTTCCGTACTCTCTGAAAAAGTTTTCATGTAGTGTAGAGAAAATCACGCGGAATAATTTTAATTGAAATATACATCGTCATATGACTACTGCACAACAGGACTACAACATCTTTTAGGATCTTCACTTTTCTTAGAATCTATTACTTTGTCAAATCGAGAACCATTTAGAACTGCATAGACTTTCAGAAAAGCTGCTGCTTCAAAAAAAAGTACTAATATTCCGGAATGTCTACCATAATGGATGAACCCTGGTTACTTTTGTTCGATTTCGGCTACACATGTCAATCAATCTTTTCCTTTGTTATGATACAGCATTTTTCCTTGATGCATATTTTACAAGTGTTTTCTGCAAATTGTAAAAAAATGTTTGAACACATGATACATCTTATGCATAGCATAGCGACAGAAAAGAACACCAATATTACTTAATGCATCAAAATAAATTGCAAATGATCTATTTTTATTCAACTCACTTCCCTCCTTGTAGTAATATATGTATTCACTCGAATCTCACCATATCTATCATCTTAAAGTATGTTTTTTCAGCTTGTTTCTTTTTTAGATAACTGTAATTTGTGTTGAAAAGTGACTCGTTTGCAATCATTGATAAGTAATGTTGGCTTTGTTCCTCCGATAAGTATTGAGTTTCTTCGAATATTGTTTTTGAATTCTTTCCATATTGCATTGCTAAAATGGCTTATTAATCAAACCAATAGTGAAATTGTTGCAGGCACTGGAGAACCAGGAAATGATAGTAATCAATTAAATAATCCACAGGATATTTTTGTTGATAATAATGAAACAATATATATAACTGATACTATGAATGGACGTGTTCAAATGTGGTTTAAAGGAGATTTAAATGGAACAACAATTGTGGAAAATATTGATTCTATTGGAATAGTTGTAGATACTGAAGAATCAATTTATATAACTGATTGGTTAAAAGGTCAACTTACAAAATGATTTATGAATGGAACAATACAAGAAATAATTATTTCCAATCTTAGTTTTCCATATATGTTATTTGTTGATAAAAATCGATCGATTTATATATCGAATACGGCCAACGCGACAATAATAAAAATAGATTATCGAACAAAGAATGTCTCAATTATTGCTGGTGGATCTTCAGGAGAAGATCTTAACCAATTATCATGGCCAGAAGGTGTCTTTGTCGATGAATTCGGTACTGTTTACGTTGCTGATACTCGTAATCATCAGATAATGCAATGGACACGTGGAACCACATATGGTAATGTTATTGCAGGAGAAAAAGGAGCTGGTTCTGCATCTAATCAACTTTATTATCCCTCGGATTTATCATTTGATTTCGAAGGAAACCTTTATGTTATTGATAATGGAAATCATCGTATACAAAAGTTTACCATTAATAAAGATTTATGTTGATCTTCTACAATAAACTTAGCTTGTTTAATACGTCATTATTCGTTATTTTCTTCAGAACAAGTGACACTATATACGGAAGATTCACTACTAATAATTTTTATTTGTTGTATTAATGAAAATGAAAATAATAATGAATCAATGGTTGTGTAATTGTATCAGATTCTATGTCTGAGACAGAAGTACAAATGCTGCAAAAAACTAGTCAGAAAAGGTAACTAAGTTAAGTAGTGTAGCATGAAAGGATGGACAAGTCAAATACTTATACTCTTAAAGTTATCTATTAAAATATCTTTTAGTTGGATCAAGATCCATGATAATTGTTCTTTGAGTCAAACTGACTTTGAACAATGCAGATTGACGAAAAAAAAATGATGGTATATTGCTCTCACAGTAGTTGAAACCATGACAGTTCTATAGTACATTACGATCAAGCGTAAAAAAAGAAGTTGACATGTTGATGAAGATTAGACTAATACATAAATGACTCGTTTAGGAAGTGGTGAAGAATATTCAAGCACGCAATGATATTATTGTAAAAAACGAATATTGTCACAAAATGATGAGAAGAAAGGACTTGTATTATATTTATCGTCGATAATGTAATAATAATTATTGGCTTCTTACGGTTCACATGCCATATTTATATTAAAATAGAAAGAAAAAATAAAATCAAACTGTTATTTCATCAGCTAGTCTTCTAAAAATTCATTTACAATGCGAAAAATATTGTTTAAAAATTTTATGTTTAGCTACGAAGTAATGTTTTCTATCGCATATACTTGAATCTCTTTACCTGTGTAAAGAACAGTTTTTATTTCTCGACCTCGCTCTGAAATGAATATTATATTATATTGTCGTTCCGTTATGAGTTCAGGAAAAGAGCCTTGGCGATCATGGATCGTGAGTTGAGCAAGATTTTCAAGCCACGAAAGGTTTATGAAAGCAAAAGCACCTTGTTCATAGTCATACGTATCACCTGCATCTTCGTAAATCATAAAGTTGGCGTCATCACCTCGATAAATTCGAATTTCATAGGCTGCATCAGGAACTTCGTTTACGTATTGCATAACTTGCGTCATGGGAATGATTGAACTAGCACGAACAAAGAGTGGCATTGTATCGAGAGGATTATCAACGGTCATCGTTTGCCTACCGTCATGAACAGTTTCAGTCCAAAAATCATACTATTGATTGCCAGCTGGAAGATAGACAAGACGAGTTTTTGGAGCATCTGGAATAGGTTTTGAGTTACGTTCATAATACATCGGTGTCGTTACTAGGCATACCATCAGTGCGGAACCGAAGAGGTATTGATCCGTGAGATTGAACGTCTTGATATCGGTTGGATAATCTATAGCTACAGCGCGCATAATTGTATAACTTTTCAGTGTCACTTGACCAGCTAAGGAGTATATATGGTAGAAGTTGGTAACGAAGACGAATATATTTAGCAATATTATCGTAGAATGGTGTTCCTGCTTCACCAAAACGCCAAATTTCACGAGATGCGTCGGTACCATGTGTACGAAACATAGGCAGAAATGAACCGTATTGGAACCAACGTGCATAAAGTTCCCAAAATCCGAGATCACGACAGCCCGTATCTTGTGGATCAGGTTCGATAGCATCGCCGTCAGTAATTCCACGACAGCCATCTGAATAATTACTGTGCCAAAACTAGGCTTCGACACTATAGTTTATGAAAAATCCTCCTATATCCAATGTCCAATAAGGTTCGCCTGTCGCACAGAAATTGACACCTTCAGCAATACAACGGCGTAATGTTTCCCATGTGACAGAAATATCACCGTTCCATAAAACTGTTGCATAACGATGCTGACCTGCATATGTAGAGCGCGTAAGATTTAGAACACGTTTGCTTAATGTAGTGTGACGTTGACCTTCGTAAACGCCCTGTGTATGTAAGAGTGCATAAACGTTGATTAGACTAGGATCAATATATTGTTTAAAATTTTGAGTGTTTATAATCAGCCGAACGTGTGATTCAGGTTCAATTGCATTCGACCAGTCTGCTACCTAAGGTTCAGAACTATCACACCACCAAGCATCAACACCATGAACAAAGAGACCGCTATTGGCTTGATCCCAATAAAGTTTGCGAGCTTCAGGTAAGAAAACGTTGTAAGTAGTGCTATCGCCAAGCATGAAATCATGCTGTTCCATTTCTTTCTGATTTGGACAGTCACCAGACATGATTGACCAAACAGAGATCATAAAATGTACATTCATCGCATGTAAAGTATTGATAAAGGCTGTTTGATCAGGAAAACGAACAGGATCAAAAGTTTTCTGACCCCAAAAGTTTCCGCTCCACGATCGCCAATCTAGAACAATAAGATCAAGTGGTATTTGTCGACGACGATATTCACTGACGATAGCTATCATTTCATTGGCGTTGACGTAGCGTTCCTTAGATTGTATGTAACCGAACGCCCATTTCGGTAACATTGGAGCTTTACCAGTAAGTTCATAATATCCACGTGTGACATTATCGAATTTTCCTCCGTATATAAAATAGTAATCAAGCTCATCAACAACATCAGTCCAAATGTAGGAGCCGAGACTATTATCATGAAAGACCATCAGTGAACAGCAATCGAGTAATATACTATAACCACGAGTAGAAACGAAATATGGGATTACTATCTTTCGATTATGTTGATACAGTTGTCGACACTTACCGCGTAAGTTACTGTAGCCTTCTTCATGTGAGCCAAGACCAAAAAGCGCCTCGTTTTCATTAAATAAAAATTCTAACTTTGCTTCGAAAACATCACGAGTTGTGTCCGTAACGTATTCAGAATTGACACTTCGTTGCTTTGAAAACCATGTATTTTTATTCGAAGCATTCCAATAAACTTTCTTTGCAGTCAACCATTTTCCGCCGCGTTCTGGTTCGCTCAACAGAATATTGCCGGTTTGATCAAAATAGGAAATTCCGCCTGATTCTTTGTCCATCGTGATGGTGATAGTTGGTGTAGAAATGGTAAAATTTGTCGATTGCTCTTCAAAATGGTAGTCAGTATACGTCGACTGTGTTGTGACAATTAGACTTGGTCCCGGCTGAAACGGCTTCCCATCTGTGAAAGTAATTCGAGCTATAGATTCAGTAATGAAAACAATTCTAAGCCGCAGACTGCTACTACCAAGAATGATGCATCCTTCATTGCTTATCAGAATATGCATGATTTAAGGATATTGATAGTCAAACACCAGTAGAATATTTTCTAAAACAAAATACATATAACAACGAATTATATTCAAGTTTTCGCATTTATCGTCGATTGTATCCATAAAAATAATATTCCGAGAGCAATCTTTAATATATGCCTGTAATAATCACGAAAAGCACGACTTAATTTTTTGGTGATTTGACTCATATCTATTTATTATCGATGAGAAGTTATCATTAAGAAAATCTGAATCATCATAGCACAAGTAAAAATCTCCTCGGTTAATATTTTAGTCAATGAAAATTGCACAGAAAAAAAACAGCCTCGTAGAGAGCAGAAGTATACACGTTTCCATTTTACGAGAAAAGTGAAGGTGTATCAAATAGATTAGTAATAGCTCATAGATACTTAGGGCATACCAAAAGTTCGGGCAGTGACAGTTTAATATCGTTTAGTAGGCTTAAATAATTTTTCTTCTATATAGGATGATAGAGAAAAAAAAGCTCTATCTTTCGATGCTATTTGATCGTACTTCAACTAATATTAAAATATTAAATTATCTATAAAACACATTTCGCCTGGTTATGTGCTGGTTGTACAGGATTGCAAAAAATCTTTTTCCAAATGTTCAAATCAATGAAAAAGTACTTGGGGCATACCAAAAGTTCGGGCAGTGACAGTTTAATATCGTTTAGTAGGCTTAAATAATTTTTCTTCTATATAGGATGATAGAGAAAAAAAAGCTCTATCTNCTGTGATCCTTTGCCTGTGGTAAAAATGTCAGGTGTATCGATCGGAATCTCTTTTAGAAGAAGAAATTGTTAAAAAAGAGGGGGGGGGGGGAGGTGCTCTAACTAACCCTACCCTCATTAAGTTATTAAATGTACACATAAAACGTCTTGCGAGAAACATGATTATCTTGAATAGTTGCAATGATATTTTATTATTTAGATATGATTGGAATCGTAAAACAAGACTAACAATTTGGGATTTCCGAAAGAAGTGATTTATGATTATGTGAGAACAAAATCAGTCGATGTAAATCTTAATCAACAAGTATGGAAAATTTAAAAAAAATTAATTGAAGATCAATTAAAACAATATCTGTTGTTTTATTTTGTTTCATATGTAAATATGAAACAATTTAATTTTTCTGTACTGTGGACACTTCACTATTTTTTCATCGGTATTAACTGCCTCTCTATGTATACGAAACATTCACTATGCATTTGAGCTTTTTTTCTTTCGAACAAAAGTCGCTTTCTGTTATTTAACAATGAAATTTTGTGGTTGTTTAACTGTCCGACATGATTCACAAGATGAGACTACAAACAAACGTGTTAAACAATATCTTCTAAAACGTAGTATGCTTGTTTTGCTATATACTTCGTGAATCTATGAAAATTCATTTGTAATAGATTTGCCAACGAATAATAATGGTTCGACAATAACCATAAAGTAAGAATGAAATATTTGTTTGTAGAATATTGAATGAAAGATTTTTATGTTTAAGATTACAAAAAGATCGAGTCAAATCGAATACAAGCACAATTACACAATCAGACACTAGAAAATAGTAAATGATTTAAGATTTAATAGTGATCGTGATGATTTAGTTAGAACAAATACAGTATAGTCTTTGATTTTTGATTCCTCACAGACAAGTCAATTTTTTTCTTGAGAAAAATGAATAACTGAGAGATACCTTTCGAAAGCTGATCGAATGAATATTGTACTTATAAAAAGAATTTAATAAAACTTAAGAAGATCTGAAATGATTCTAGCTGCTTGACCTTCCTTCTTGTGAAGCTATGACTGTTTTATTAAAACTTTAGCTTATAGTAAGGTATTCAACAAAAAATAAAATAATTGAACATCAACCTGCAATTGATGTTTTCTCCTCAAGATATGAAAGAAAAAGTCTATTTTCTGTGAAAAATGATAGTATTTTGAACATTCAACATCTCAAGAAGGAGGCATTCACTTCGGTTGAAACTTTTATGATATGATAAGGAAAACTGCAGATTTAAATTCATTAATTTGATTTCTTTGTTAAATACATTGAATAGCCTAAAATTCTAATAAAACGGTCATAGTTCGAGAAGGAACGTTGCGTAGCTCGAATCATCTCAGGTTGCTTTAATTATGAGAAAACTATAGACTTGATCAGCAGTCTACAATCTAATGATTCTCACGCATTAGAGTTTCACTTCTTGAAAAATAGAAATTAACTTGATTAGCGATATTAAATATTACTTTTTTTGCGTTTATGATTTCTAATTGCATTAAATAATTTTTTCTGTGGCAAAATGACCAAAACAATCAATTAGAGTCGTAGAGACTTTTTAATGATAAAACTGATTTTTTTTCTCAACATTTTTCATAAAAAAATTCTTTTGTTTTTATTAATTATAGTACTTTAAAAAGCAATCGTCATCAGAATGAATAAATAAAAGTGTTTCACATGATGATCATCATAATGTATCTAAACGACAATCAGTGTAAATTAATAAAACTTGTATGTAACTTTATAATTCATTTTTATATTTAATACATTTGCTAATGATAGTGAAACTGAACAATGTAAATTTCTTGAATTAAATAAAATAAAACGTGGATAAGATATGTAAGGAAACACAAATATTGGGCGATACGAATAATAGTTGAGAAAAATATAGTAATAAAACGAAAGTCTCCAATTGAATACAAAATTTACACAATTGTAGTTTAGAACTTATGAGTAGTTCTTCTAATATTTATAATAGTATCATGTAAGACAAAAGTAAACATCCATTAATTTCCTAGACATTATGACTTTTAAGACATTAGGGAAAAAAAATTAAAAAAAATTAACATTATTTCTTCAGCTCTTTTACTTTTGCGAGAAAAACCAATTTGAGTTTGCAGTACTGTTGAGTAAACGGCTAATATTAAAGCTGATTTCACCTTAATGTTCACTCATTACTACTTACTCAACTATTTCAAGCAAATGTTACTACCTAATACTGAACTTTGCATACTTTGTTTTTCTATTGAAAGTTAAGTTTGACTGCGTAATCTGATGATGTAGACGTTATACTATATTTTAAATGATTTTTTTCTTGGATCAAAATTTTCATCACAATTAATTTTGATGTCACTGCATGAAAATCTGTGAAACTAACAATTTCAATTTCAACGGCAAGTTTTAATTCATGTCTTACATGTATCAGAGAAACATGTGCTTCTTTGTTACTATTTTTTTTTTTGTGTTTATTAATAGTGTCGTTTTTTCATGTTAGTTTCGTTTATTCATCTGAATTGATACCTTTTTTCTTATTACTATAAATTTATCGATTATTATTCGCAGATCGGATATTAAAATAAATCACATTATACTCTAAATAAATGACTTTTATATAACAGATCAATTAATGAATTACAATTCAATAAAAATAAACGTTCAATGTCAGATAAATAACTAAAAGACAAAATCCTTTTTTTTTTTTTACAGTTTGTCGATAAATATTAGAAGTTCACCAAATGTAAATCATTTAATAATAATAACAATAGCAAATACATCGTATGAAACAATGACATGCGATGAACTTGATAATTTACAACAGAAGAAAATAGTTATTCGTCGTCGAAAATTAGTTTATTATCATTTAAATTATAAATTTGAACATTTTTTCATCTTAGAAGAAGTAAATCTCCTCGACAAAAATTTCCATCTGAAATTCTTGATGCAATCAAGTATATGTAAAAGTTCTTCAAATAGATGAATATTTTATGATTGTTTTTTTTTTTGATAGATTTGATTTTGTAGAACCTGTCGGTTTAGATGAGAATCAATTGAAAACAATCCCTTATGAAAAAGTCAAGTAAGATAGAAACAAATAAATTTCATTTAGAAATGATTTTTTTTTCTTTGAAGAACATCATCTCAGTCGATTCGTATTAGTCTTTCATTATATTCATCCCCACAACGACGACGACGACGATGTTCTTCTTCATTTAATCGATCTAGGTAAATCAAATATCTTTTCCTTTTTCTTTCAAATTTATATTTTATGTGTAAATTGTAGTGATGTAGTTCATAATGCATCAACTCATATGTTATTTTTATCAATCATGATAAATTCAAAGTAAGAATTTTTTATTAAATATTTAACTGATTGTATTTATTTCTATTTAGAAAGTGATTGATGCAACTCAAAACATAGAAAATTGTGCGTACGATAATTCTTTTTTTCTTGTTATCAATTAGATTGTTAACGTTCTTAATTTGGAGTTTTAAAATATGAAAAACATGTGATTGAATTATTTTCCTCAGATATTCATTGTCAATATTACTTTGTTTTTTTTTTGTTATGATGATAATTAATTCTTGGGATTTTCTTTCGATGTATAATATTTATCTATTTTTCATGTGACAAATAAATTAAATTATTCACTAGGATTTATATGGATTACAATATACTGTTCAAAAATAGTATTTATGAAAAGAATATAAGTGATCGTTAATGTTATTTTAACTGTTGAGAGAAACCAAAAAGAGGAAAAACTGTAGTATTCTATGTTTATTGAAATTTTTACATAGATGAAATTTGCTTATAATCTTCTTCAAAATGTGAAATGAATTAAGATTTTTAATAAAATTATTGTTTGACTGTGACACTTATATATTTATATATTATCTATAAGCTGCAAAAATTACTCTGTGTAAACACGAAAAAGTATCAACAGATATGGTTAACGAACTGCATTGTTCTTTTATGATCCGTACCACAAATGGTGCGAAGAAAAAAAAAAGGTACTGATGATACGATCTTCATACACAATCTTTCGTTTTTTTTTCTTTGTTCTATATGTTTTACTAACAAACTGATTTGCATACCATAAAATTCTCACAACAAATCAGTAGCCCACGAATGACCAATGATAGATTTTTTTTCTTAAAATTGGTTTCCCTATATGTATTATATCATTATATATATATATATCTGCAATCACTTAACACATTCATTTGTCTTGTATAATTATTTTTGATTATCAATCATTAAAGATCATGCCCACTATTGACCAGTTTTGCTATGATCAAATATGGTTTAAATGTCTCTCTTGTGTATTTATCAAAATCATCAGTCATTGTCCCATTCAATTGATGCGCATCGAGACAGTTGATCTGAGAACAAATTATCAGCAAATATTGAACAACGATGATAATATAATTATTCTTGTTCTCGAATTGAATTAAAGACGACAGTAGTCTGTATGTCGAGGTAAAGGAAGGAACAAAACGAACAGTTGTCTTTCTTGTTGAACTCATCGTCGCCTCATATGCACATATATGTATAGAATTATGTGATGAAGACAATGAAATGAGTTGACCAATACAGTATGTGTGAATACAAATGATTGTTACGCACGACAGTACAATAGTAAAGAAGAACTATATTGTCATAAGAATAGTAAATTTCTCATCATCGCTTTGCAGTACACACGTACACTCGAAGTCTGGAATGCGACGCACTTTTTATTAATACAATACATGTTATATTTCTTTTTCTTTTTTTTTGTTTTCTTCTTTCTTATTCTTCTTCTTTGTACAATTAGATGATAATATGTGTATAATTAATTATTTTTAAACGACGAACCATATTACAGACGTCTTTTTTTAATGAATGGATTGGTGGTACTTACTTATTAGTATTTTTTTCGCTTCAGTCACCGCTAATATTAATCATATTCAAACACTTGATGTTCAAGAAAACGAACGCGTTCGACTTCAATGTACATTAACATCAACAAAAGATGCTGAAGAAGTAAGAAATGAAAGTTTGATTTGCAGAGATAAATCTATTTCAAATATATAAATATAAAAAAAAATTGTTTTTTTAGGTTATGTGGATGCGCATTCGACCACCACATAATCCTGACATATTAACTTATCGAGATAATGTTGTTTATACACCAGATCGTATAGGACTTGAACAACGTCGTCTTAGTTCAAGTATGAATACAAATGGAACATTTATTAATACGTATTTTTTAACATTAACTATTTCACGACCAACTATTGATGATGAAGGAAGATATATTTGTGCAAGAGATCGAACTGTTTTTGCTGAATATGACCTTTTTATTATAGGTAAATAATGAAGAAAAAAAAGACACCAGCTTATCTGAATAAACCTTCTTATTTAAATTATAGTCCCAACTCAGTTTGTTGATGATACTAATTTTATTCAACAACAAACTGTTATTGAAGGTTCAACTCTTCGTCTTTCTTGTTCAGCATTGGGTCGACCAGTGCCATCAATAACTTGGTTTTATCGAACAAATGCAGGTACACTTGTTTCATGTAAGTAGAACAATTGAATAGAAACTTTAAAAAGTTACTTCTATTTTTTGTTTGCAGTAAGTAATGGAACTATTTGTCAAGCCACAACATGTGAACTTCATTTGGGTAATTATACACGATATGATCCAAAAGTAATTGAATGTATTGCTGATAATGAAAAATCTAGTCGAATATCAAAAGTATTTCATATTGATGTATATTGTAAGTTAAATAATTATTTCAATTCATTAATTAAATTTAAATTCTTCTAGATCCACCAAAAATAACAACGAATGTTCGAACATTGATTGGTTCAAGAAGCATAGATGTTTTTCTTGTATGTTCATTCGATGCTAATCCAATACCATCGATTATGTGGCTTGATGATAATCGACAAGAAATTTATGATTTTCATTTATATTCTATAAAGACTACAAATCAATCATCAATATTATCATTTTCAATATTTTCAAATGAATATTCAAATGTATTGTATTATTGTCGAAGTAATAATTCAATTGGAACAGTTGAAAAATTAATAGATATTTCAAGTATAAAGATTTTTTTGTTGTATGAATTTTCATATTCTACCTGTTTTGTTATTTAGGTTTTATTCATTTTGAGTCTAATTCCGATTATAAGTCAATTACAATGCGGGTATTAACCGTAACCCCATCAAGAAAACAAAAAATTGGTAAATTAAAAAAAAAATTTTATTGGAAAACGAATTGATGCTTATGCCATCGTCTCTTACGCTATTCTTTTTGTTGTGATTATCCTGACGATATGAGATCACTTAACCAGAACTTGAGCGTTTGTAGTCTTAGCAAAAAATAATTACTTTACGAAGAGAATTATGACTTATATGTCATCTATAGTTACATAAATAATGATCAAATCTTTACTACATATACAAATGAAGATTGTCTAGAAAATAAAAATAATATAAAAATTACTTTTCGACCGAGATGATGTTCATTTAATGAATAATAGAATAGTTTGGTGCTCCAGACATTCGTTCTCATGATATTGAAATTTAATTGGGTTCTTCGTTCTTCTCAGATCACATCAAGAATTGATTTTTGAGTTTCAACTTCAAAGTTTACACGACTAATATTCTTAATGAGATTAATTGATTATGTAAGTTTTACATTTTCAAGTGTGTTCTTTCAGGAGATGTAAATATTTAAACAAAATTTGCGTTTTTACATGTGAGAGCATTTCGAATATTGAATATCTCAGGATAGTAGATATTAATATGACTTGAGCGACATCACAGCTTTTTGTTGAGATATCCAGAAAAATTCTAATATCTTAAGAATGAAGGTTCAGGGGACTAAACCATTCTAGACTTTTCTATTACTCACTAGTAATAGTCAAATGAGCACCTCAGTCAATTTTTCTGTATCCTGGGTGGTGTTATGATATCAAAACTTCTGATCCAAATCTGGGACAGTTTTCTCCAGTGCCAGTAAAAAATCATTATTTTTTTTAGAATAGGATCATCGATTTAAAACACCGAAAAACTGACGACTATTTCCAGATTTTGACTATCGAAAACTATTTTTCTTGGAGATAAGCATGATTTTTTAAATCCGTCTGCAAAAATACATACAAAATCCTACATTTTATTGTAAAATATCTCAAGTTAAAATTTTCGTTCTACTCTCACTTAGCTTTTTATTTTTATAATTGTAAGTTGTATCTCTCTACGAGTAAAATTTCATTAAAAGTCTTTTTCAATGAACAATCGAATTTCCAGTGCCTTTTTACATGTTGAGTCAGAAAATTATGCTTGTTTTCAATAAACAAAAAATGATTTTTAATAATCAAAATCTAGAAATATTAAACTTACAATCAAAAAATAGTTAAATAAAAGAAAGCTAACAGAGGGGGAATATAAACCACCATGTGGAAAAGGCAATTAGTTTTTTAAAATTCATTTCTTATTTTAATAGCAAAACCAAATCATATTCGATCAAAACCATCGACAACTATAACAACTACGACAATGTCTTCGAACAGTTCAATATCTTATTATTCAAATTTTTTTTTTCTAATTTTTATTATTTGTAATTTTTTTTTCAAAAATACAATATATTGCACTGTTTAAAATTGACTATAAAATTTAAACTAATGAATATTGTTGATGTCTATATGAATCAGAATTTGCATCTTGAAAAAGACTTTCATCATATGTCGCATATAATGGATTATCTTGATTTGCTAATAATGAATGATCAAATAAAAAATTATGTAACGGACATCGAGGACTTTGAGTATAAGATGAATGAACACCGGAGTCTGCTGATGATAAACTTTGATCATTATTCGAAAATTTTTTTGTTATTGGCTTTGATGTTGACACATAAGTAAAAGCAGAAAAAAGTCTATTTTCAGTTGAGGAAACTGTTGATAGAATATTTGGTAATAAATATTTTTCAGAATTATTTGTAACAGGATTTCGTTTTAATGAATTTTGATCATTGGATAATGGAGATTCAAGAATAATTGGACGAAAATATCGTTCGGAAGACGTAATTGATGGACGAATATCTATATGAAAATAAAATTTATGACTAAGTAATGAACAAAAACACAAAATAGCAAGTTTTAACTCTGTGAAAAATCTGTTTAAAAACTATTCAATAGGATAATATAATTTTATTATAACAATTGCATGTATCTAAAAGATATTAAATGTAGAAGAAAAGTTTTTTGTTTTGTTTTTATGGACACAGACATTCATTGTTACCT